TTTTATGCTGTTCTGTATTCTTAATGTGTACGTAATAGACACCTGTGTTTGCTTCATAATTTGAAAAAGAAAGAATTATTTGTAAAGCTAGCAAGTATGGATCATAGTCCACAAACACAAATGTGACCTCATTTCGCTGGGCTGATAAAAATTTTACATCAGTCTTTTCCCTGGTGTCAGAGACACGGGAAGATGAGGGGACAGCAGTTCATACTGGCTAGGCCTATGGTTACTTCTTAAAGAATGGCAGTGATCCCCCACATTGAGTCAGGGTTGAGCCTTGAAGATTCAGTTGGGACTGTAGAGGTTGGGAGGGAATGAAGAAAACAAATGAGATCTCCATATGGCAGGGCAAGAGGAAGAAGAAAGGACATCAGAGAAACTCCCAGATCTGATTAAGGTGTATCATTCCTACCTGCATGGTCATGAGCACTCAAAGTCCTGAAGATGGTATGAAAGAGCGGTTTGGTCTTCCTCTGAGTTATCTTTCTGTCTCTTTCACCAAAAGAAATTCCAGGAGTTCCTGCTTTCTTTGTTTCTTTTCTATTTCCTTCAACTTCCCAAAACCTACCTTTTTCTCATTTCCTTCTTGGAGATATTTTACAATGTTCTTGAGATCCTGAATGCCATGCAAGGCTCTGCTCTTGTCCACTAGGGGAAGAATCCTACCATTCAATGTGTGAGAAAGCTTAGCTCTTTCGTATTGTGACAAACTGATCAAGACAAATTTTCATCTTTCTGTTGAGTAACTCTTACATCTCCATGTGGATGAGTGTTATGCTAGATCACTGTTTCTTTACTATAACAAGACTTTCTTTCCACCAGGAGGAAGGGGAAGAAAAATCCCATCCTGCCATATATAGTCCACAGGAAAATAGAGGAGAAGGAGGTTAGTTGCCTACTTTGGACTCACGGCTTTATGGGACAGAATTGGTTAACACACAGCATGTTCTCAAGAAACTCAGTATAGAGAAAAGAAGAGAGACACAGATATTTAGTTACAATATGAAGAGTGTTCTCTAAAAGAAAAATGTTTAAATTGTGATGAGATTGTAAACCGGATGTAATATTACTGTCCAAAGGCATCAGGAAGATTTCATCAAAGAGTGACATTTCAACAAAAACTTCACGTATGACTTGGAGGTGGGCAAGTGAAAACAGGGGGCTGGAGAACCACATTGGCAAAGCACAGGGACAAAGCCACATGGCACATAGAATGGTGTGCCCAGCATACAGGATAGGTCAGGGAGCTTTATAACAGCACAGAAAGACAGGCAGCAACTGAGTATCCCAATGTCACAGAGCAAAGAAATAATTATGAATCTATGCATACATTGCTGATCTGCCTCCTAGCCTACTACACTCTCTCATTTGCTCCTCATTCTGTTTCCATGTCAAAAAAAAACCTCTGCACTTTGCAGCCCTTTTACCCAACTGAAGAATGTCTTTCCCTCATACTCTTCATCTTGTCTCAAACCAAGTACCTCTCCTCCAAAGGATGAATTTAAATTCACATCCACATCCTTATTAGAGAAGGTAGAAATGGGGTCTCTCATTTTTTATTTTTCCCCTCAATTTGCTGGTGATGAGATTGGAAGAAACTGCTCCTGCAATAGGTATTGATGCCTCTTTCTTTTATATTCTGTTTCTAACAATTGCAGCCAAAACCCAATAGCTGGGGAGCAAGGACTGGAATATACAAGTATCCAGTTGTATGAATGTTTATACTGGTTCAATATTTGATATTATTCTCTTTTTTTCCTGAAATAAGGGCATTTTTGCCAAAATCAATAAGCTTTTGTGAAGGGAAAGGCTAAACACATTATGGAGTTAGGTACTAATTGGAAGGGAAAACTGATGTTGATGGCAAGGGTCTCTCACAAAACAGCGTTGCTCTTACAAGATCCAGTTAATGCTGGTTTCTTGTGTGCATTTGTGTTTGTGTGCTGTATGTATGGGTATTTTAAATTTAGAGTTAGATAAATGGGGATTTTTTTCCCATTATTTTGTATATCTCTTTCTTCATGTATTTAATGTACATCCACCAGGCCCAAATCTCTATTTGAACATCTCTTGGGGGAGATAGGGAGTAAACCCCAGAAGAATGTAGAGAAAGCTACATCAAGTTACTCTGGCAACTTGACCTTTCTGATATTTCCACAGTGAACTTAACCTTGGACCAGTGGCATTTCAGCTGCCTCCTGTTGTAAACCAAATTCATTTATGTAGGTTCAGGAGTATTCTTGTTTCCCTTACGGAGTCAACTATCCCACGTAATAATTGAGATCATTCTCATCAAAGATATCAAGTGGTTTTTAGAAAAGGTAAAAAAGAATACATGTCAATAAAAATCACAGAAAGATTTTAGGGGCTGATCTAAGGTCAGCAAGAAACTGCTGAACACCTCTTGCTACAAAAAGTTGGTGGGATGGAATTTGGAGATAGCAACCGTAGAAAGCTTAAAAATAAGAAAGACTTTACCCATCATAAAAATTGTTGAACACAGAAATACACTCCCTAATGCAACCAGCTCAGCTAAGCACATTTCCATTTTATCTATGAATGTGCCTCAAATGGGTAAGCAGAATCCTAAACATAAAGGGCTTCTGAATTTCTCTTATTTTCTTGGTGATTGGCTTTTGTATGAAATATCTCTTTGACTGTCCAAATGTTAAAACACACACACACACACAATAGTAACTATAGAACTACACACGGGTGATCTCAACATGCCATTTCTCCGATGTAGTGTGGACACAGCAAAGTGTCCAGCCAGTTCTAGAGAAATACCGACAGCTGCCAACTCTCCGAAAATAGGCCAGAAACTGCAACCATTACAGAACAAAGCAATCATTCAGAAAGCATTGGAGTGATGTAAAATAAAACCTTTGAAATGCAGAAAGCAGCAGATTTAATCGTGAATGATCCCTGTACAAGCAGGCAATTCTGAATTCTCAAAATAGTCCACCATAAAACACTTGCTTGATCATAAAGTGAGGACATCTAGAGCTAAGAAGTGGCCTGGAACTGTGAGATCAGCAATGGGCTCTTACTCCCTCATTGCTGGACAGTCTGAACCTTGTTTGTGAAATCAAGTAATCACAAAATATTTTAGCTTATGGAAACCACCACCCATATGATGTCCAAAACCCTCATGTTGCAGGTGAGGAAACTGAGTCCCATAGAGATGAAGAGGCTTATCCCAAATCACCAAGAGTTGATATCCCCCATTGTTCAACTTCTTTAATTAGATACTGCTAGAGTAGAAAAGACTGTTGAGGGCCACAGCTGAGTCGGGATGACGCATGGCATTTTTGCCAGAAGTAGTGGTTGAGAGGTGATGCCAGCGAGCCATTAAGATGATGACTTTTGAGTTCTCGCAGAGTTCCGGAGTTCTCGTTGAGTTCCGGTTGAGCTCTGAAGAGTTCGCACTGGTTGGGGAAGTGCCGGAGGAGGAGGGATTTTCCGGTTGGTGGTTCCTGGAGGAGCTGCGTGGCGTTCGGGAGAGTTCCCCGGGAGCGTGTGTGGAGTGTGCTGGTGGAGTTCAGAAATAAAGTTTGTTCCTGCTTGAGTGGCTCGTGATTTGTGCCCAGCCAGACTGGGGCAAAAGACCACTGACATACTCCATGTCCCCACTTGTTCATTAATTAAGCATTTCTTGTTTACTGTGTACCAAATACAATGATAATATTTATCTACTGAAGAAAACAGATGTCACAGCAAATATTAGTATCTTCCTCCTCCCTTTTAAAATCAAATACTGCAATAGATTAGACAAAGGGGAATGAAGGGAAGGGAGGAGGAATAGGAATAGGAAAGACAGTGGAATGAATCTGACATAACTTTCCTATGTTCATACATGAATGCACCATCATGAATCTCAACATCGTGTACACCCACAAGACTGGGATCCCAATTAGAATGAGATATACTTCATGTTGGTATAAATATGTCAAAATAGACTCTACTGTCACGTAAAACTAAAAAGAACAAATAAAAACTTAAAAATAAATTTAAAAATACAATCAAACACTGCAATTCTTCACTGTAACCATAATATATGCCATTGATAGAAATTTCAAAGAATACAAAAATTGATATGAAAAAAGAAAACACTAAGAACCCAAAGAAAACCTCTTCAACGTCTGGTGTATTTTTGCCAATCTTTTTCTTAAGTTTTTATTCTTTTTTTTTCTTTTTCTCCTTTCAAACATTTGTTATTATCCTGTATGTTCAATTATGTATCCTACCTTGTAGCACACATATTTCTTGAAATTATGAAAAAGTCTTTGTAATCATCATTTTTAATAGCCATAAAATATTCCGTGAAGTGGAAATAATCATCTGTTGCTATTTCTATTTTGGAGAGGATATACATTTATAAATTATAAGCATTTTTTTTAAATATTTCCCTGTTTTGTAATACTTCCTTGGGAAATCAATTGATAATTAATTAACACCTCATTTTCTCTAAGAGGATTTAAGACAGCTGTTTCCTAAATTTCTCAGAATTGTCTTGCAGGTTAGAAATATGACTTTTCTGGAAAAATACCACCTTGTGATTTTTACTGACGCTAAGGTTGTAAGAATTGCAGTTTTCATGATAACGCAACATACCCGTCTTCCCACTGCTTCTTTTTGTTCAATATTCTCAACCACTGATTAACCTAGACTCATTTATCCTGCCTGTGAAATTATATGCCATTAAGCTCTATAAAATGCTGGACACCAAGTGAAATTGGAGTTTTAGATAATGGATTACTAGGAAACACTGATACTAAAAAAAATATTATTTGCCATTGTTGTGGTTTGAATATGTGTTTCCTCCAAACTTCATGTTGAAGTTTCATCCCCATTGTGATGGTCCTAGGAGGGACATGTTGGGAGGCAATTAGCTCATGGGGGCTCCTCCATGGTGAGATTGAGGACTTCATAATAAAGGCTCCACACAGAGTTTGGCCCTCTTGCTCCTCTATTATTCCACCCTGTGAGGACACAGAACTCCTCCCCTTTGGAGGACCAGCCACAAGACACCATCTTGGAAGCAGGGAGAGTAGCTCTTACCAGCCAGTGCCTTGATCTTAGACTCCCCAACGTTTGGAACTGTGAGAAATTAATTTCTGTTATTTATAAATTAATCAATCTGTGGGTTTTTGTTGTAGAAGCACAAATGAACAAGAAGGTCATTTTTCTGAAATTCAAACATAACTAAGTATCTTGTATTTTAATTTCTAAGTCTGGCAGCCCAATCAATTCTGCCTCTTATTAATTATTGGACTCCGGTAATTTTCTCACATCTCTCTCCTCTTCCAGAAAATGAAGAAGATCTTGTTCATTTCATAAGAGAAATGCATTTCATAAACAGATGCATAAAAGCACCTACCACACAGTTTCCATCCTTTCTTCTTCCTCACTGAGTTTCATATTCTCCTCTTGTCCCTTATTTAGCCCTCCCTTCAGTCCTGGGGATAGTCCTAATTTTATTCCCACTTCCCTATAGCAGACCTCGGACTTTCAATCCAGCCGCTCATTCACCTACCCCTGCACCTTGTGAGTTTTAGGTTTGGTTCCAGGAAGAAGCTCACATCAGAACTGGCTCCAGAGCAGAAGGGATCCCAACAATCAAGTGCGATGTAACTCCTCTGCAGACATGTTATGGAGGCACATGTGCTAAAAAGAGGCAACCCTGACTGTGGAATTAGGGAAGATCTTCCAAAGGAAGAAATATCTGAGTTGAGGGTTGTAGGGTGAAGAGGAGTTGGCCAAGGAAGAGGAGAGGGCTAGGATGCACAATCTAGAAGGCAAAGAGAACAAAGTGCAAAGATTCAAAAATGCCCCAAATTGTCACGGAATGGACAATTGAAATCTGAAACAAAGAATGAGAGGAGTGTTGAGAGAAGGAGACGAGATCAGCCAAGGGTCAGTGAGTCTTGTTAGATGCCTGGATTTTATTCCAAGAACAGTAACACACCATGGGATGGGTGCAGATTCAGCACAGGAATGATTTGATCCACTTTGTAAATCAGAACAATTCCTCTGGGTGTGGAGGGAAAGATTGGGAGGAGGAAAAAATCTGAAAGAAGGTAGACTGGGTTTTAGGGTTGTTAGGTGTAACTCAGTGAAAAGATAACAGAGAGGCCTCACTACTTCCTTCCTTCTTTAATAAAATGGATGAGGAAAGGGTCAAGATTTGCTCCCAAGATGTAGGCTCTCTATTCACCCCACAGATTGTTTTTTTTGCTGAGAAGAAACTTTTTAGTTTGAGTCCATCCCATGTACTGATTCTTGAAACGTTCAAGGGGACTTTGATGCCTGAAATGAAGTGAGACACAAAGGCAGCAAGAAGATCTTGGACCGTTTATAATCTTGCCTCAGGGTACCATTAGGATCCTTAACTTGCTTGTAATAGGTCTCCAAATCAAAATGATTAAAGCTATGATGGATATTTATATCTAAAAACTACAAGAGATCTATATTCACAAAGAAACCTAACCCCAGATGTTTCCAGCAGCTTTATTTATAACTGTCAAAGTTGGAAGCAGGAGAATGCCCTACTATAGGTGAATGGATGAATAACAAGTGGTCCATTCACACAATGGAACATCATTTGGTGCTAAAACAAAAATAAGCTATCAGACTATGAAGACACAGAGGAGTCATGAGTCTACATTGCTAAGAGGGGAAAGCCAAATCTAACTATATACTACATGATCCCAACTATAGGACATCCTGAAAAAGCAAAATTATGGAGAATTAAAAAAAATATATCAGTGGTTTCCATGGGTTCGGGGGAAAGAAAGGATGATAAGTAGGCAGAGTACAGAAGTTTTTCTAGGGCATTGAAACTATTTTGTGTGTAATACTATAATAATATGCATATCACTATACATTTGTCAAAATCCAGAGAACACATAACAAACAGATAATGAATCCTAGTACAAACCACAGATTTAAAGTAATAATGGTGTGTCAATGTTGGTTCATAGATTATAACAAATGTACTACACTGGAAAGGAATGTTGGTGGTGGGGTAGGTTGTACATGTGTAGGGTTAAGGGATATTTGGGAAATCTCTGTACTTTCTGCTCAATTTTGCTGTGAACATAATATTGCTCTCAAGATAATTAATTAAGTAAGTAAGAACTCCATGAGTAGAAGTGAGCTCAGGTGTTCAACTGACATCATACAGATGTCAGGTTTCTCTCACCCTCCATCTCCTGGTTCTTATACCTCTGTGCCAACTCCATTCTCAGACCTCACATTTTAGCTAGATGGCTGCAGCCCCAAACTCTTTCACATCCTCACATCTCCATGATCAGTGGAAATGAACATCTACTTTGAGGTCAGTGGTCCCAGGAAATTATAAAGGGCATCTTATGAATATGATGTGAACACATGATCCTGAATCAATGTGGCCAAGTCCTGAACATAAATCAGAGAAGATTGAACCTCAAACAAACTGCAGGTGCAACTACCAGAATCTGGTCAACAGATGATAGATATGCAAAAATAGTAATGGTGCACCATAACTAGTTCATCTTCAATTTTGGAAACTCAAAGTGCAGCAGAAAAGAAAGTGTCTCCAAGAACACTTGCAGAGACAAGAACCCAACTATGCAATCAGCTCATATCACAATGCCAATATGTGGGTAATAAAATCTTTAACACCCAGAATTGTACAGGGCTGACAACTCCAAATGGATGCCAGCTGTTGTGTCTATCGATAGCAACTGGTGCATCTCGGTCCTGCCAGGGGAGGCTATGCAATTTGTCAGATTGGGGTACATAAATTCAATCCTGAGAAGTCTTCAAATCAAACAAAATGAGACAATTTAAAGAAAAGGCTTAAAAAATTAAAGAAGAGAGCAAAGGAGGGAAGGACAGAGATCATCTTACATAACTAATCCTTTTTAAGTGACTTTAAAATAATTCAAACTCAAAATTGGTAGTTTTCATAATAATTTATTCCTATTGTGAGTCATTCAACTCCTTCATCCTTTTCTCCATTTTCCTTACAAATCTGGAAATCATAGGGGTCAGACAAAATTCATTAAACAAGAAACAAGATTAGAACTAAGAAGGGACAATAGTACCCCCACACAGTTCCAGTTCTCCAAGAAAAAAATTCACAGGGAACATAGAGCACATTTTCTATGATATTTTTATGTGTACCTATGATCCCCTAAGGTGAGTATTCGATATGCCACCCCTGCTTATGTGTACACATGAAATGATGTCAAAATTGAATTTTGTTTAATCAAGCCACATTTCTTTTTTTATTTATATATGATAGCAGAATGCATTACAATTCTTACTACACATATACAGCACAATTTTTCATATCTCTGGTTGTATACATAGTAAAATCACACCAGTTCGTGTCTTCATGCCTGTACTTTGGATGGTAATGATCATCACATTTCACCATCATTAATAACCCCATGCCCCTTCCCTTTCCCTCCAATTCTTCTGCCCTATCTAGAGTTCATCTATTCCTCCCAAGCTCCCACTCCCTATCCCACTATGAATCAGCCTCCTTATATCAAAGAAAACGTTTGGCATTTGCTTTTTTGGGATTGGCTAACTTCACTTAGCATTATCTTCTCTAACTCTGTTTACCTGCAAATGCCATGATTTTATTTTCTTTTATTGCTGAGTAATTCTATTGTGTATATATGCCACATTTTTTATCCATTCATCTACTGAAGGGCTTCCAAGTTGCTTCCACAGTTTAGCTATTGTGAATTGTGCTGCTATAAACATTGATGTGGCTGTGTCCCTATACTATGCTGTTTTTTTAAGTCCTTTGAGTATAGACCAAGGAGAGGGATAGCTCCTCTGTATCTCAAACAGATAACTCTATATCAATTTTCCAAGAAATCTCCATTCTGCTTTCCATATTGGCTGCACCAATTTGAAGTCTCACCAGCAATGTATGAGTGTACCTTTTTCCCCACATCCTTGCCAACACTTATTGTTGTTTGTCTTCATAATATCTGCCATTCTGACTGGAGTAAGATGAAATCTTAGAGTAGCTTTGATTTGCATTTCTCTAATTGCTAGTGATGATGAACATTTTTTATATATTTGTTAATTGATTGCATATCATCTTCCGGGAAGTGTTTGTTCAGGTCCTTGGCCCATTTATTGATTGGGTTATTTGTTTTGGGTTTTTATTTATTTGTTTGTTTGTTTGTTTTTTGATGCTTAGCTTTTTGAGTTCTTTATATACCCTAGTGATTAGTGCACTATCTGATGAGGAGTAAAGATTTGATCCCAAGATGTAGGCTCTCTAGTGACCTCACAGATTGTTTCTTTTGCTGAGAAGATACTTTTTAGTTTAAGTCTATCCCATTTATTGATTCTTGATTTTAATTCTTGTGCCACAGGAGTCTTATTAAAGAAGTTGGGGCCTAATCCCACATGATGGAGATTAAGACCTACTTTTTCTTCTATTATACACAGGGTCTCTGGTTGTATTCCTAAGTCCTTGAATCATTTTGAGTTGAGTTTTGTGAATGGTGAGAGGTAGGGGTTTAATTTCGTTTTGTTGCATATGGATTTCCAGTTTTCCCAGCACCATTTGTTGAAGAGGCTATCTTTTCTCCAATTCATGTTCTTGGCACCTTTGTCTAATAGTTTTTGGGGTTAGTCTCTGTGTCCTCTATTCTGTACCATTAGTCACCAGTCTGTTTTGATGTCCAAACCATGCTATTTCTGTTACTATTGCTCTGTAGTATAGTTTAAGGCTTTGTATAATGATGCCACCTGCTTCACAGAATTGCTTTAGCTATTCTGGGTCTCTTATTTTTCCAAATGAATGTTATGATTGTTTTTTCTATTTCTATGAGTAATGTCATTGGAATTTTTATTGGAATTGCATTAAATCTGTATAGTGCTTTTGGAAGTATGGTCATTTTGATAATATTAATTCTGCCTATCCAAGAGCAAGGTATTACTTTCCATCTTCTAAGGTCTTCTTTGGTTTCTTTCTTTAGGGTTCTGTAATTTTCTTTATATAGAACTTTCATTAAGTTGATTCCCAAGGTTTTTTTTAAAGCTATTGAGAATGGGGTAGTTTTTCTCATTTCCCTTTCTGAGGATT